AGGGGTTGAGCCCAGGAGCACTTAACCACTTAACCACATCCAGAGCCCTTTTTTGAATTTTATTTTGAGACAGGGCTTCACTAAGTTGCTGAGCCTGGCTTTGAACTTCTGATCCTCCTGCCTCAGCCTCCAGAGCCACTGGTATTATAGGCGTGCACCATGTCACCCGGGCCAACAAAGGATTTTTAGGTCAGTAAAACTTTGTATGCTATTGGCCAATATATGTCATTATACATTTGTCCAAACCCATAGATGTGCCACACAATGGTGAACCCTGAACTTTGCAGAATAATGCTGCATCAGTGTAGGCTTCTGGATTGTCACAAATGTGGTCCCAGAGTGGTGTGGGATGTTGGTAGAGGGGGAAGCTGTGCATGTGACAGGAACTCTATGTACTTTTTGCACAATTTTGCTGTGAACCCCAAACTGCACTACAAAATACATTTTAAAAGAACCACAAATAGAAAACACGTGTTTCCTAAAGCCTGAAACAGCAGAAGACGTAAGTTACCTAGTACAATGATCAGCTCCAAAAATATGTTCTTCAGGAGAGAGAGCTTTTGTTTAAATTCTCTAAGCCTTGGCCTCCTGTAACTTTTTTAAAAATATTTTTTAGTTGTCAATGAATCTTTGTTTTATTTATTTACATGCAGTGCTGAAAATCAAACCCAGTGCCTCACACATGCTATGCAAGTGTGCTACCACTGAGCCACAACCCCAGCCCCCTCCTATAACTTTTGATTGTACAAAACTGATTTACTGTGGGAGTTCATCCACATGTGTGCACCAAATTTCTATTCCACCATCTACCCCAGGGTTCAGCACATTTTTCTTAATCCCTTTTGTCAAGTGAGATTTTGCACTATTTTTCTCTACGCTGCACTAAAATTTACCTCCATCTTCCTGAAATCATTTATTCTTTTCATTCTATCGAAACAGGCTTGCCTGCCACCTAGCTTGATCACATCGTGAACCGCCTAGCTTCTGTTTTCATTAAGTCAGTGATTCACAAAGCAATTGCTCAGCTAATTGGAAAATACATTGAGTGAGCTGGACAATCCCTGCCATCATCTTCCTGAAACTGGGCCCAGTTTTTATTAGGTGCTGAAGCTGACATAGCCCAGAGTAGATACCCTTTAATTTGTTGAAGTTTTTTTTTTTTAATTTTGTGATTAGCTAAATGATGGGCAAATCAGAGAAAAGAAAAAAAAATTGAACAAAACAGGGGAAATAGCCAAATTGAATTTAGTCCATTCATTTTTGTTCTCTTAAATATAGAAAGCCTCTCCAAACTGTGTCCTCATTTATCCCTGCTTTCTCTGCCTATAACTTCCTTAAAGAATCTTTGATGTGGTCACTGGACAAGGCATTATTCTAATGCTTGTTGCTGGGTCAACTCTTTGTTATTCTGTTTGGTATTTAATCCCATAGACTGAAGTTCTGCTCTGGTATGTTGTTTATCACTTCCAGATTATAGGTGTAGCAAATATTTTCCTAGTGCAATAATCACTAATGTGACATTCTGTTGCTGGTATCATCCAGACAGGCCCTGCTGGGCTCCTTCATTTTGAACCTTCTAGGCAGTTTCAACCCCAACTTCTCCTTAGGTCTAAATTGTTCTTTTGAGGCATGTTCTCCGTAAATGTCAGGGCACTGGATGACACCTGAAATCTTGAATCTCTTTCACAATAGTGACATTCTGAAAGCTTAACTTCTGTTTCCCTGGGTGTGCAGAAACCCTGCAGGTATCCCTCAGCAGCTGCTATAGTCCTTTCACTTAATTGCTCAGTGAATGAAAATATCTAGGAGACATTCACTTCCAGAATCCTTCTAGAAACCCAAAACTTTACATTGTTAACTTGGTACAAATCCTTTTGAAGTGAACTAGGGCGGCAGAATCATGCTGGCCTAACCATTTCAAGGTGGCAGAAACACCTGCAGTGACAGATAATTAAAACCATTGCCATGTCTCTTGCTGCACGTTTCCTGTTTGCTAGCTACTTTCAGGATGAATCATATTTGATGTCACAATGGCAACCACTTCGCTGCTTCTTCCCTGCTCCTTTGCAATACCTACGGCCCCTTGGCCAGCTTTCTTCCCCTTGAATCGTGGCAATAAAAACATTTTCTTCATGGTGGACTGGAAATAATGGCATACACAGCACAGTCTCAAATCTCTATAGATGTTGCTTCAAAACAAATCTCCTCACCTGTTGGCATGCACTTCCTTGCCTTTTCTTGTGAACTCAACTGTTCATATATGAACCAAACTCGCTGATCCAGAGATAGCACAAGTCCCAGCTCTCTGACTACTCACAAAATTCTTATCATTTTGATACAAAGGAAACATGACTATACTTTTTTACATAAAGAAACATTGGGGGCTGGAATTGTGGCTTAGTGGCAGAGCACTTACCTAGTATGTGTGAGGCACTGGGTTCAATCCTCAGCACCACATATAAAAAAAATAAATTAAATAAAGGTATCATGTCCATTTACAGCTAAAAAAATATTTAAAAAAAGAAGCATTGGAAGTATATTTAAACCAAAAAAATGGTCATTTGTAGGGCTGGGTAGACAGGTGGTAAAGTGTGATTTTTCTCTATATAATTTTTCTATATACTTATTTTTTAGTTGTGGTTGGACACATACCTTTATTTTCTTTATTTATTTTTATGTGGTGCTGAGGATAGAAGGCCTCATATGTGCAGGGCAAGCACTCTGCCAATAAGCCACAACCCCAGCCTCATAGCTTTTAATTTTTGAAGCACGATTATTACATATTCAGAAAGTTAAATTAAGAATGAATTATGGGGCTGGGGATGTGGCTCAAGCGGTAGGATGCTCGCCTGGCATGCGTGTGGCCTGGGTTCGATCCTCAGCACCACATACAAACAAAGATGTTGTGTCCACGGAAAACTAAAAAATAAATAATAAAATTCTCTCTCTTTAAAAGAAATCTGCATAAGGTAATATTCACAAATTCCAGGAATTGGATGTGGACATATACTTAAAAAAAAAAAAGAATGAATTATGGGCTGGGGTACTGGTAAAGCACTTGCTTGATTAGCACATGTGAGGCACTGAGTTCTATCCTCAGCACCACATAAAAACAAATAAATAAATAAAACGGAGGTATTGTGTCCATCTACAACAAAAAAATATTTTTAAGAATGAATTAACAGGGGCGGGAGTTGTGGCTCAGTGGTAGAGCGCTCGCCTAGCATGCACGAGGCACTGGGTTCGATTCTCAGCACCACATAAATGTAAAATAAAGATATTATGTCCACCTAAAAACTAAAAATAAATAAATATTTTTTTAAAAATGAATTAACCAGCTGGGCATGATGGCACACATCTGTGATGTCAGCTACTAGGGAGGCTGAGGCTCTAAGCAACTTAGTGAGAAGTGGTCTCAAAATTAAAATTTAAAAAAGGACTGGGAATGTAGCTTAGTGGCAAAGCACCCCTTGGTTCAATCCCTAGTACCAAAAAAAAAAAATTAACCACCTTGGTAAAACAAGAAACTAAGGACATTTCTAGCTCATATATTTCACTGTTCTTATTTTCCCTATTTAACTCATAGAAATCTGAGACAACTTTAATAGGAGAGTTAAAAACCTGAGTTCCTGAGTTAACCCAAATAAACTTTTTATCAATGTGAAACACATGCCTCCATTTTCTTTTATTTTTTAAGAGTAATTTCTGTTCTTTACAATGTTACCACACACACACACACACACACACACACACACACACGACTTGAAAAATGGATAGAGAGACAAGAGGGAGAGCCTCCCAAACATTTTTTTTAACAAAGTTCAAAGTAGATTATATTTATGTGCTTTTCAGTCATTACACAATGTACAGACATGATCCACTGAATGATTTATGCTCCCCAAATGGTCAAACATGATTTTCTATGAAAGACTAGACATAAAAGCTTTTAGAAGCAGAACTGTTTTCTCCAAACACCAATTTCAGGCATACATTTGTTTTTACGTATATTCCTTGAGAATGCTACAGTAGCAGTGCATAAATTCATTCTATAAAAAGATCTGAAAGATGATTTTCAAGAGACTCTCAATACATTGTGCTTTCAGATAAAAATCCTAAGTCAAAAGATCAGTTGCTATGACAATAACAGTTAAAACTGCATATTATATACATATATATGCACACACACATATGTGTATGCGTGCATATATATATGTATGTATTAGAGATCAGAAGAGGCTATAAAGAAATGTAAGTAGTTGTGCTTAGGGGACTTTTTTGGTAAAGTTGTTTTAATAAATAAAAAGTTTAATAAATAAAAACTTAAAAATGTCTCAGTGACTGATATAAAATAGATGCAGGTATCAAGGGTTTTCCATTCTCAGCTTAAGAGTTTAAAGGTGAAAAAGTCATCTCTACAGAAACCATCTGATACCTGATAATCCCAATCTGGGCAAGTCACTTACAGTCAGGCAGGCAAGGGGCTTGGGAGAAAAGATAAAGGGATTTCCCCCTATTAACATAAAGCATTAACCAGAGGTAAAGCCAGGGCAAACTAACTAAACAAATGCCTACCTTCCCTTAGAACTCTCAGACCAAACAGGTCAACCTACTTCAATTAGGTTTTGAAAAAAAACCATATGCTTGGTGTATGGACCATAACCCATCTGTAGTTCACAAGATGAGTTAAATATGTCCGGTCTTCTATGAGACCCTAGGATAAGCATGATCCCTTAGTACCTTATACTGTTTTTATCCCTTAGTACCTTATACTTTTTAACCCTCCACATATTAACTGTAAAACTCTCAGAAACACCATAGCAACTTTTCACAATGATAGAGGCCAAGGTATAATTTACATAGAGAGTAACATTGATGTTCATAGCTAGGAAGTCAATGTAATTTTATTTTTAGGCTGATCTGTTTGCTCTTTTCAGCCTTTAGCTTTGAAGGACACACGACCCTTGTCAATCAAAGTGAATTAGAAAAAAGATGAGAAAATAACAAATGTTTTAAAGTCTTTTGCATAACAGGTATAGATATAAAAAAGTTTCTTCAAATAGTTTCCTAGGTGTCACTCAGAAGCAGCCTTGCTGTCTGTCTGTAACATAATGTGCTGGCATCCTTCAAATAAAATTATAGAGAAATTAAAAATATATATTATACATTTGCAGTTATTTGAAATCATTCAATAGTTTGTAGCATGTTAATAGAGTGAAATAGAGATAAAAGGCAGTCCACATTCATATTTTCAAGATAAATTTACTCAGAAGTTGGTTGAAATCCTTGCTCACGTTCTAAGTATAGCCATTGTGATAAGACCTGAAAGGAAAAAACAGGAGAACAGTTAAAGACATGCATTGTACTGCATTTTCCATTCAATAAGCAATTGTTCAGACCTCAATGAATAAATAAAATATAACACACAGGCAGACACTCTACCAAGACCTCAAAGTCAATTTGAATTTAGTTGATATTATACAGGAAAAAAATCCAATTAACATCAATGGGCACTCACTGAATAGATTTTAATTAAATCACTAATGTCTGGCCATAGTTCATCTCACCATCACACATACCTCCTACTTTATCCATCACATCAGCTATAATAATAGCAGACATGCCATTTTAAAGTGTTAGTAAAGCCAGCAAGCTTTGTCAACAGAAGCTTCAAGAGCCTATTTGTATCAGGGCCCTAGGGCCACAGAGATAGAAGCAGTGTTCCTGCTTTTCTTTAGTGATTCTGCATACAAGACCATAAACATTTAATAATATGAGAATGTGTTTATGGGCTGGGGGTGTACCTCAGTGGTCGAGCACTTGCCTAACGTGTGTAGGGCCCTGGGTTCCATCCCCAGGGAAACGCATACACACACACACACACACACACACATGAGAAAGGAGGATGATCATGTAAGGCTGAGGCAGTCAACATAGTTGTCCCCAAAGATTGTCCCCTTAAAAGATGATAGAAAAGATACAGAACAATGGGATAGGCAGGCATTCCAGGTGAGGGCACGGCATGAGCAAGGGCCTGGGAGGACCAGGACTTTAGATGAATTTTTCCAGAGTCAATAAATAACCCAACAGGCTTTACTCAAGGATTTATATAGGAAAGCAATTAGACAAGATTGGTTCAAGGAACTCTCAGATTGTGGAGAGGCTTTGTTTGTTTTGGTTTTGGTACTGGGCATTGAACCCAGGGGTGCTTAACCACTGAGCCACATCACCAGCCCTTTTTGAATTTATTTAGAGACAAGGTCTCAACTAGGTTACTGAGGCCGGCTTTGAACTCATGATCCTCTTGCCTCAACCTCCCAAGCCTCTGGGATTACAGTCATGCGCCACTAGGCACAGCTGATTGTGGAGAGTATTAAGCACTGAACTATGGAGTTTTACTTCATCCAGTAGACTATGGTCAACTGCTGAGTTTTGAGTAGGGAATGGTTATGAAACCAAAACAGAATGGAAATCAACCTGACATCAATGTGATGGATGGTTTCAGGGGGCAAGAGAATAAGGGGAAGGATGACTGAGAAAGAACACAGACAGAAGGTGGGGAGACAATTTAGAGCACAGTAGGGAATACTGAAAGAATAATGGAAAGAGTTGAAGTGAGAGGAGAATATGAAGAAAGAGTCATTCATCACCACAGTCACGATGCTCGACACACGGAAGGCACTGAATAAATGTTTGCTCAATTGAAATAATTAATTATAGGATTTGAAGCCAGGATGACTGGAAGAATGAACTGGAAATCAGGGAACTGGTTTAAATAGAAAGGTTCACAATATTAAGCAAGGTTGCACTGTTCATCCTTATCGCAGTGTGCACCTTGTCTAAGTGTTTCTCTAGGAGCAGTTCCTGCAAGTAGAAAGACTGTATTATGAAATATATGCATTGTATACGTACATTATAGCACCAGAAGTCAGAAAAAGGAAAATTATGGAGTAAATAGAGTTTTAGGCACTAGATAAATAAGTCAAAGAGAACTAAATGCGAGCCAAAAGTTAAATCTCCAAGTGCACCCAACCTCAACATGCCTTTGAAGAATCTTTTACCGTTTTTCAAAAAAAGAAATCAACCCCATAACCCCCCAACATAAAATCCTACACATATGTCCCCAATGCATCTTTAAAACCCTTACCTAAGATATAAGCAGCCACTAATTTTTGATTCACACTTAAGTGGAGGTAGAGAGGCACCAGCGATTCCACATCCCCCAGCGTGGGCAGCATCAGGGCTGCAATGCACACCACTCCCAGGAAGACAGTTAGTAAACTAGGTCCTGAGGAGACAGTTCTGTTTTCTGTAAAAAGACAAAAATCCCTGAGCTTGCTTCTAAACCCAAGCAAACTGAAGACAAAAGTTTCCTTACAAATAATGGTCACCAGATGGGTGTGGTGGTGCATGCCTGTAATCCCAGTGACTCAGGAGGTTGAGGCAGGAGGATCGCAAGTTTGAGGTCCAACTTAGTGAGACCTGTCTCAAAATAAAAAAATAAAAAGGGCTGGGGAATGTGGCTCAGTGGTTGAGTACCCCTAGGTTCAATCCCTGGTACCAAAACAAAAAATACTGGCCACCACACACTAGGATTCTCTTTTGGCTATCTTCTCTGACTCCTTCCCCCATCATTCCCATTCCATGGGGACCTATGTGTTGCACTTATCTGGAAGTCTATAAAGCATAACTGCTCTGAGTCATTACAGGATGGTATGCTGAAATGGCATTATGAGTTACTAAGTTCCTACTGAAAAAAGTGGTCACCAACTTGCCCCACCCTGATATTCCACCATAGTAAGTAGAAAGTGTTCAAGCATGTAACATCAATGCATGTACATTTATAAATTATATGCACAATTTCTATACTAGTATGTTTAATATAAAACATACTAATGGAATTACCACAGAATGTGCTAAAAACACACTGATGTTCAATATTTTCTTCCTGTACTCCAATGGATTATTTTATATTTACAAACAAATTCTGACTTAATGATGGCTTGACTTTAAGATGGTGTGAATGCATTATGAATTAAGTAGAAACTACACTTTGAATTTTGCTCTTTTGCTAGTTATATGAGGCATGGCACTCTGATGATACAGGGCAGCAGGAGTGGGCCACAGCTGACGTCGGCCATACAATCATCAGAGGAAGCAACTGATACACCACAGTGGACTATATGGCTAAAATATGAGGTCCAGGGGTAACCAATGCAATTCTGGAGGATATGTTCAACTTACAGTGGGTTCATTGGGACATAATGCCATCATAAATTAAGGAACATCTGTCCTCCATGTAAGACTATTACAGTAGAGCTGCACTATCTTCTGGCAATATCTTAGGGAGGTGTCCAGACAGATTTGATCCCGATAACTATAGCATGCTGCTACCATAGTAAAAAATGTTAAGGTACCAAAAAAAAAAAGCACTACTTGAATGGTTATAAAGTTGCCCATAAAAATTCTTGCTCCTTGCCCTACCTCATTCATAATAAAGAAGAAAACTATAGAAACAATATCTGGCAAATTTATGCTAAGTGAAATAAGGCAGTTACCAACAAATTCTGCATGACTCCACTTATATGAGCCATCTAAAATAGTCAAACTCATAGAACTGGAGAGTATAATGGTGGCTTCTAGGGTCTGGGGGAGGGGGATAAAATTGCTAATCAATAGGTGTAATTTTCAATTATGCAAGATCTATTATTAGAGATCTATTCTGCAACCAGGTCCCTATAGTTAATCAGGTTCCTATATACTGTAATATACACTTAAAAATTAATTAAGAGGCCAGGTGTGGTGGTGCACACCTATAATACCAGTGGCTCTGGAGACAGAGGTAGAAGGATCTCGAGTTCAAAATCAGCCTCAGCAACATAACAAGGCCCTAAGCAACTCAGCGAGACCCTGTCTCTAAATAAAATATAAAAGGATGGGGATGTGGCTCAGTGGTTAATTGCCACTGGGTTCAATCCCTGCTACCAAATAATATTTTTTTTCAAAGATTTGTTATCAAGCCTGCTATTCTACAGCTCTAGCTACATATGTACAATATACATAACCTTATTTTTAGGAAACCCAACAACAGCATTTTCTGTTATGTGGCTTTCTCACTAATCTTCCTTTCATTAAAAATAGCCAACAGCAATACGATCTTGGTGTTTTATTAATGAAATAATACTGTTCATTCTATTATTAAATGAAGCTTTTCTAAATTATTAATACCTCAGCTGTTGTAAAGTCTAATTGAACCTCACCAAAGCCAGATAGGTAAAAAACAAATTGATATTTCATAATTATTGCTTGGGATGCAACAATAGTATAAATATCTTTAAAAAACCATCTCATTTTAGTTAATAAATCAAATAACTTGGCATTTATATTTGTTGCTAAGATAAATTTTCAAGGAAAATATTTATGATTTATAACTACATCACATACTACAAACCTACAATAAAAATAATTTCAAAGAATTTGGTATTTAGAGAAATGCCAAAAACAAAATGAAAATAGCCTTTTTCCTGATATTACATGATTATAAAAAATGTACAAAGATATAGAAAACAGGGCTGGGGGTGTAACTCAGTGTCAGAAGGCTTGCTTTGTATATATGAGGCCCTGGGCTCAACCCCCAGCACCACAAAAACAAGATATAGAAAACAAAGTTTCCTCCACAATCCTATCCTCCTACAGATAGGTTAATGCTATTAACAGCTTGGTTTATATCCTTTCAGATTTCATAAATGACTACATAAACATGTAAAATAATTCTTTACATAAATGAGGTCATATTATATGTACTGTTACATAACTGTTTTTCACCCTTCACTAAGAAATACATTTGAAGCCTTTTCTGTGTCAATATATAAACATTGTGTACAACCAGAGAATTGACATGTTGTGCTCCATTTGTGTACGATGAATTGAAACACATTCTGTTGTCATGTACAACTAAGTAGAACAAATTGAAAAAAATTTAAAATATATATATATAAACATCTATCATTCTATCAGATCCTTGTAAATACCTGCCTAACACCCTGTCTTATGAACACTCTTAATTTAATCATTTCCCAAATTGATGGACTTTCAGGTCATTTTCAATTTTGCATTATTATAAACAATAATAAAGAGCATCATTTTCTTTAGCCAGAGGGCAAAGACTGAAACATAGCCAAGACACAGCAGTTCATTAGTTAGGTAATTAAGATTCAGCTACATTTTTTATCTTTTTAATAACCTGGGCTCTAGCATTTTATGAAAGTATACTTTGTGAGTTTCTCTTCATTTAACAGTTAAATTTCTGTTAAATGAAAAAACTCACAAAATATAAAATTGTATTTATACACATTGGAATGGTCTGGAAAGTAACATGGAACAGTTACATAAGGAGATTTCTTAAGTATGTGTTATTAAAGGTGTTTTTTTTCCTTTTGAATTTCTTACTGCTATATGTCTTTTATACAATAAACCTGAGAAAAAATTTCTCATTTTACCAACTTTCAATACACTTTAAAATCCAAATTTTTCATGATATAGCCTTCAACTATTTTTTAGCAATGAGTCTCATGATACTTGCATTTCCAATGCTTCTGATATGCTTTTTGTTGAAACGTTTTCAAAGCTAACAACTTGAAAAAATAATGACCTTTTAAAACTTCCCAGAAAAAAATCCTACAGAAAACAATCTCAACTTATTTTTAATATTTTGTATACAACCAGAGATATGAAAAATTGTGCTCTATATGTGTAATATGAATTGTAATACATTCCATTGTCATAAAATTTTTTTTAAATGTTTTTTTTTAGTTGTAGATGGACACAATAGATTTTATTTATTTATTTTTTTATTGGTGCTGAGGATTGAACCCAGTGCCTCACACATGCTAGGCAAGTGCTCTACCACTGAGCCACAACCCCAGCCCCTCAACTTATTTTGACATTTTAGTGCAGAGAGACGTAAATTAAAAAAACAGAGAATCTACATACTGGAAAACAGACATAAATTATTATTAATTTAATAGGAGAAATTTTTAAATATCACTTTGTCATCCTAGACACAGTCAGTCATCATTATACTTAAAAGGAAAAAAAACTACACAATTTTTTTCTGGATGATTAGCTATAGTGGGTTAACTACTCATCAATGGAACATGTTGGCCAGGATTTTGAGTGGACCGTTTGTTCAGCCCTTTCATACATTTACTGTGAAACTACTCTGGACCAGGCTCTGTGCTAGTACTGAGGACATAGTGGTGAACAAGACAAAGTGCCTGCTTCCTATGAGCTTCCTGACATGAATGGCTGAGAGATTTTTTTTCCTCTCCAAAACAGAAACCACCATTAGGACAATGTCACCTATCTTCATTCATCTACCTACTCCAATTTTAGAATTAGAAGAATTCTCTCATATACTTTAGATATCAAAGTTCATTATAAAAGTAAAAGAAGAACAAAACAATACTTACTATAATTTTTTAGGTTGTTAAGATGCTTTCCAAGAAATTAAAAAAACAATAAAGTTCTCCTTATATGTACATGTACATAAACTGTTAAATCTTAACCATTGCTGGTTGTGGTGGCGCATGCCTGTAATCTCAGTGGCTTGGGAGGCTGAGACAGGAGGATCATGAGTTCAAAGCCAGCCTCAGCAAAAAGCGAGGCTCTAAGCAACTGAGTAAGACCCTGTCTCTAAATAAAATACAAAAAAGGGCTGGGGATGTTCCTCAGTGGTCAGTCAAGTGACCCTGAGTTCAATCCCCGGTACCCTAAAAAAAAAAAAAATACAAACTTAACCTTTATTACTCTTGGCTTTAAACCAGTCTGTTACATACAAAATGATCACCAATGACCCCTTTAATGGATGAATTTAATGTCAAAAAAACACCACAAATGCTCATTCAATGACCTTTCTTGTTTCAGAGGAGGCATTCTGAAGGGAGAGCCTTACAATTCATAAGTCAACCTCACAGTATTGATCTATCACTGTTACATTTGACAAAGGTTCTCTCTCAGTGGTTGTTTCTTAGAAAGATGAAAAGATGGTGCTGTCAATTACCAATATTTTCTGAGAAGAAAACAATCTACTAACTAGTCTGCAGTCCTGTTATCATCAGGAAATCTGAGCTCTCTGTGCACGGACTGAGAAGACACTTGGCAACAGTACACCAAAAAGGCACTTCTCCCTATCTTACTGAAATAAACATTCAAAGATGAACAAACTGATATGGATCTAGGAATTAATGTAATGACAAGTAGATTTTTAAAAATCCCTCAAATACAATATGTCACAATCTGAAGGACAGCTGCTATCACATTTGTATATCACTACAGCAAAAAGTTTCCATGTTTTTCAGTGGAAAATTTTATTTCCCTCCTCTCATAATTGGTGTAGGGGGGAGATAATGAGAAGTTGTGAGGGAGGGGGAATGACGTCCAAAGAGTTGAATGTGAGCATAGTGTCAATGCTGAAAGAATATATCATAACACTTCTGAATATCTAAGCTGGGAGGAAATGAGGAATGGAGAGGGATTCAATTAATAGCCCACAGGGGATATTATAATCTACTTAGTTTAATTAACTTCAACTTTAATGAGATTTTTTTTCAAAATAATATGAACAGTGTACTAAGCTTGGCCTGTTGCCAAACACAATCTCTCTCCTCCTTCAAACTAATTAAATGAGAAAGGATATAGGAAAGTCATAGAAACAAAAGTATATAATTGCCAAATTATACTAGCATACAGGATGATGCTTACAGCATCCAATTACAGTCTCATGTATGTGTGTGTGTGTGTGTGTGTGTATATATATATATATATATATATATTAAATCTCCAATATATAGACAATATCCAGTATATAAAAATATGCATATATGTTTATATTTACATTTTTAAAGGCTACAGTAACATTTGCCTTCTCTTTACAGGCTGGTCTACTTAGGGCTATTCTCTCCTCTGAAAATCCAGCTCTGGGTCTCTTGCTGTATTTCAGGTACCCGATTCTAGGTTCAGTTTTGAAGTAGTTGACTAGATTTAAAGTGGAGATTACGTTGGTAGATTTAGAGTGGCAGATTACGTTTCTAATATCATTATTAGCCCCCTGATTATTTTAAAGTTAGAAATGTGTAACATGCAATACTACCTGGTTGAAACGATTGTTCAAAAAATAAACTTTCAGTTAAATGTTCCTTTATTCTTTTTTCCTCGTCTTCCTTTTGTTGTTCTTTTGCAGATGGGAGAAGAGTAGCAACAACCTCTTTCCTTCCTAAAGCCTTCCTCTGGCTTTGCTCAGAAACTTGGAGACGGAATTTATCTATTACACCATAGTGACAGGATCGAACATCTCTATGACGAATCACACTGAAAGCAACAAAAAATAAAAAGCTACTGTTTAGGTTTCTTGGGGCCTGTCAAACAGAATGCAGCAAGAGATTTCAATGCAGTAAAACAATAGCGACTATAACCAAATACTTTAAAAAATAGAAATTTACTAATGATGCTAAAAAAATCATAGTACAACCCCAAAAGAAATGGGTAATTGAAATATTTGATGAAAGCACATACTTGAAAACACTGACAAAAATCTTAAGTAAAAGAATGATAGGTAAAGCAATGACCTTTTTTTCTGGCCATCCATATAAAGCAATATTGCCTAATTAGGAATATATGAAACAGTTTCTCCCCCACAAACATTATCATAAATTTCTCTTGCCATTTATCTTTGGTTTTTTTTTTTTTTTGGTACCAGGAATTGAACCCAGAGGCACTTAATCACTGAGCCACATCCCCAGCCCTTTTTAAATATTTTATTTAGAGACAGGGTCCAACTGAGTTGATGAGGGCCTCACTGAGTTGCTCAGTGCCTTGTTTTTGCTGAAGGTGGCTTTGAACTTGTGATCCTCCTGCCTCAGCCCCCCAAGCCACTGGGATTACAGGCATGCACTACCACACCTGGCTCATTTATCTATTATTCAACTAAGAAAACTCACCCAAGACTTAAAAATTGACTTACATACACACAGGTAAAAATAAGCAACCGAATAAGTAATTAATCCACTATGACCAGTGCACCAGAAGTCTAATAATAGATCTCTGCATTTTTCTAAAAGGAAAGTGTATAAAGCATTGTAATTTTTATGAGATTTTGCAATTCCATTTTTCAGATATACTTCCTTCTTCCTAGGGAATGCAAAACAATTAGGTCAAGGGTAACAAAATTGATTAGACTACAAATTTCTATGGCATAACCCTTGCCTATTATAGGCTGAATAAAAATTGAAAGAAATGTACAGCTGGGCACAGTGGTGCACTCCTGTAATCCCAGTGACTCATGAGTATGTAGCAGGAGGATGGCAAGTTCAAGGCCAGCCAAGGCAATTTAGCAAACCCATTTTCTGTCTCAAAAGAAAACTTTTTAAAAGGGGGCTGGGAATATAGCTCATTGGTAGCTCATTGGCCCTTCTGGGTTCAATTCCCAATACTGCAAAGAAAAAAAAGTATGGGGGGAAGAAACACATTCTCAAAGATACATCATGTTACAGCTTTGAGATGAAGAAAATATATTGAAGAGGAAAGGCTTCTGCTTTTTATTCTCAAAGAAGATTTAAACAAATAAAGTTGATGTGGCAACGAAAATTAAGGGCTGGTCAATGGATCCATCTGGTCACCACTAGGTCTAAAGTGAAAATTAAACATGAACAGCTTGAACAAACAATCATTTATCTGACACTCTAAGATGCAATTATCTGGAAGCACTCAGATAACCTTTTACAGATGAGAAGTTACATGCTTTGCTTCCTGTTTATATAGATTAACTTCCAGGCTTATTAGCTGAATCATTTCAGATGAACTCACATTACCATTGTTCTTACATCATAGCATTACTAGTTTCTCAAATGTCATTGTAATAGGAGGATATTCCAAAGAAAGCTAAATTTCCTATTACAGCGGGAAAAATTAAAAAGGAATAACTCAGAACTTTAACTTCATAAATATCTCTGCCTTTACTAAAACTACAAGGAAGAAACAATTGAGGAAATACTGACATGGAAATCAGTGCCAACATAATGAAATATTATTATTTGGTTGACTTGTTTGGAATCTCTTAGAAACTTCTTAAGTTTTGATAGACAAAATGTCATCACAAATTCAAGAGATTACCAATGCTTATGTGGGAATAACTTCAAGATCCCTTTCCAGTTAAAAACATAAATATTAATGCACTGAAAATGTGTTACCAGGAAGTGATTTTGACTTACATATCCACACAACACTGAGGCTTTACTGCACCTGCAGCATCAAYGACAACATACTTATTTGGAGTAGTACACAAAACTGAAAGAAAAAGTCACAATGGCCATTAGTGTTTTTAAAACAATTAGTTTCTATAAGTAAAAAATTAGTAGGGACTAGTTAAAAATTCATGACGAAAGACCTAGGAGACTCACCTTTGAACTTCAAGGCGAACTCATAGGGATTGTACAGCGTCAACACTTGTTTATGTGTTGACTGATCATCTGCATAAAATATTAGCTCTGTGGGAAACACAAAAACGGGAAGATTTCCTTCCACTAGCTCTGGTTGTCTTTTTTGTTGATGCATTGGCACTGAATCCTCTTGCTGCAGCTTCTGTTTTTACAGATTCGGATCTATTTTGGATTTTTCTTCGTTTCAGTTAAAAGCTCCAAAGCATTTTGGCAATCTAGAAATAGAAGGAGAAAGGGAGAAGGAAAACCAAATGATACTGATTTTCATTAGTCTACAGTCTCTTCACAAAAAGCAGGTTTAGTGTGAATGAAAGTAGGCCCTGAATCATGGAAATGTGCCTCTTGACCTTTCCTCTTGGCTTGCTGACAGAGCTTTGACCAGATCATGCAAAGAAATTTAGACATGTTCCTTTCACATTCAGAATTTCAACCTATGATAGATGACACAAATACTTGAATAAAAAGAATAAAGAAGTCTTTCTCAAAGTAATCATCTCCTTTCAAAGAGGTGAGATCAAAGGAACATCACTGTATAAACTTCATATTTTTTAAAGGAAAATAAACTAAGTATTGTCACAACTGATTTTGTGAGCCAAATCAACTCTTAAAGATTTTTTTAAAACAATAAAAAGACTAAAAAATAATAAATAAAACAAAGGAAGTTTCCAAGATTTATAGGAGAAAAACACAAGAATCACTTTTACACTCCTGTCAACAATGCTTTATTTAGTGCCTTGGCAGCATGGATAGGAGAGTTCTTTTAATCTGTTTTCTACTGAAACTCAAGACAAGCTAAGCAGGCCTTGGAATTTTCACTGAAAATTCAGTCACTAAGTGGGCTTTGGCATGCAAGGTACCATTCCTCCCCTCCTATGTCAAGTACACAGGCTTCGTAAGAGCTATTTTCCTCCAACTTCAGAGGCCTTTTTGGATTCCTTCTGGACTTGAATGCGGTCCAGGTGGTTGTGGCTGGCAGAAGTCTCACTGTCAAGTGTAATAGTTCTGTATTTATTTCCTAATCTAATTTTAATCAATATTCTTATTCAGCAAGTCCCTCCCAAAGTGTGGCTTTTAAAAATAAAAAGCAGGATTTGATCCAGCATACTCAAAAAAAGCAAAAGTTAAAACATAAAATCACAGAAATGATTTTCACTCTGTAGCTCACACCTTTAAAATAGGCTATAAAACATTTAATATTTTGAGGTCAGGTTCTCATACATTCAGAGGGAAATATAACCAATGAATAAATTACTTGCTTTTATCAGCTAGCAGGGCTCAAATGCTCTTCTGAATGAGGCCTTTTCAACTTTTATCAAGTATGAAACTGTAAAATTACATGTGCAAATTTTTATTATTTTCTTTCAGATGGACAGCTATTATGCCAGGAACTACATCAGGAGACCAGCAGAGAGATAAAGATAAAATGTTTAGGCCCTGCCCTCAAGAAGTTCAAGTTTAGCTGGGTGTAGTGGCACACTCCTGTAATCCTATCTGCTTGGGAGGCTGAGGCAGGAGAATCATGAGTTCAAAGCCAACCTCTGCAAAAATGAACCACTAAGCAACTCGGTAAGACCCTGTCTCTAAATAAAATACAAAACAGGGCTAGAGATGTGGCTTAGTGGCAGAGTGCCCCTGAGTTCAATCTCCCACAAAAAAAAAAATTCAAGTTTAATTGGTGAGACAAAAATAATAACACTGCCTCTGTTATAATGCATACTGTTGTATAAAACGTACTAGGGAATCAGAAGACTACAGGAATAAGTCTGCCTGGAAGTGAGACCGGGAGATGGCATGTGAGGTGGTTTTTAAAGAAAATATGGGGCTGGGGATGTGGCTCAAGCAGTAGCGCGCTCGCTTGGCATGCGTGCGGCCCGGGTTCGATCCTCAGCACCACATACCAACAAAGATGTTGTGTCCGCTGAGAACTAAAAAAAATAAAATATTAAAGAAAATATGGGTACTAGGGAATGAAATTGACCAAATTATGTTCTGTGGATGAATGCATATGCAACAATGAATCCCATTAATATGTAGGAGTAATGTACCATTTAAAAAAATTTAACAGACAGCCCCCCAAAGAAAAGATAGGTACACATTTAAATGTTGGGAGGAAGGTATTCAGACCCAGGGGACCACAAATAAAAAGGCACTGAATTCATGGACTGTCTCAGGTAATCAGTCTACTTTATATCCATATACTTTATAACATATATACAGTTCATAACAGTGTTGAATTTGTTTCTGGGTTTTGTTTTGATGAGCTAATAGGGTCTACTGAAATTTTTGTTATTAATAACATTTAACAGGGGCCGGGATTGTGGTTCAGTGATAGAGTGTTTGCCTAGCATGCGAGAGGCACTGGGTTTAATCCCCAGCACCACATAAAAATAAACAAATAAAATAAAGGTATTGTGTCCATCTACAACTAAAAAATCATTTAAAAAATAACATTTAGCATTTGAATAATTCATAACATTACAAACTTTTTATTAATTATATAGACTGGATGATTGATAAGCTCTTAGATAGCACTTATTATAGGCCAGGCAGTATTCTAAGTGTTTGGTTTTGTTGTTGAATTATGAAGAGACCAGGCTGGTGGTAGTGAAGGTCAGCAGGTCCCCTAGTCTAGAATTCCTTTCCATTATACTAAACTGCATCCATGTCCATAAAATAAAACAAATTATTCTTGAAAACATCTGATTAAATAATTGTAATTCTGCATTTTTTATTTGCCCTGAATTTCTTTCTTTTAATCAAAGCCATACACATTTCTACTTGGATAATGGGCTCTCAGAAGTATGGCATATTATTTTTTTCAATAGAAAATACTAGGCTCTATAATTATTTTCATAGGAAGCTTGGCTAGTAGGAAGAAAAGATCCAAATTTGATGTCACTAAATAGTATGCACTGTCTCATTGTAAAACTCTGCTGAGATGAGAATTTAGTTTATGATAAAAGGTAGCATCTCTGATTTGTGGGAGACAGATTTATTAGTGATAATTGGTTAAACTGAGTAGCCGTCTAGACAAAAATAAAGTTGAATTTATCTTTCACTCCTTATTTCAGGGAAAATTCCAAATGGATCAAAACTTTAAATATAAACAAACAAAGCTATAAAAACACTATAAGAAACCATGGGAAAAAATTTTTTGTAATCTCAGACTAACAATGACATAAAACCAGACACCAAAAATATTGATGAATTTAACTATATAACTTTTAAAATTCTGCATAACAAAAAATCTTTATTATTATTTTTGACCAAGGATTGAACCTGGGGCGTTTAACCACTGAGTCACATCCCTAGTCCTTTTAATTTTTTTTTTAATTTTGAGATGGGGCCTTGCTAAGTTGCTGAGGTTGGCTTTGAACTCATGATTCTCCTCCTTCAGCCTCCTGAGTATTGGGATTACAGGCATGCACCACCACCCCCAGCAGCAAAAAAAAAAAAAAAAAAAACTATAATCAAAACCAAGAAAACATTTGCAATTCACATTATAGGCAATGGCTAATTTCCTTAGTAGAGGGCCTACCAATTTTTGAGAAAGCCAATTCAATATAAAAATCAGCAAACTCTATTTTGAGAAAGGGAAATAAAATTATTCTTGGCTAACAAAAGGATGTTTAACTTTACAAGAGAAATGCAAATTAAAACCATATTGTGATGTGGTGTGTGTGTGTGTGTGTGTGTGTGTGTGCGCGCGCGTGTGTGTGACCTGTCAGATTAGTAAAAATTTTTTTAAAAAACTTGATAGCACATGGTGGGAAGCCACCAGGCACATTCTTACAATTGCTGGTGGGCATGTAAATTGACATAACCTGTCAAAATTAAATGCCCATACTCCTGAATACACAGTTTACTTGTAAGAATTTATTTGGTATCTTTCTATGAAGTTATGTATATGGAATGTTTGCTTTGAAGCACTGAGGATTAAATAAAATTATTTATGTGAAGTACAGAGAACAGAGCTTGGCATTCAATACAAGCTAATTGTTCAAAGCAAAGACTGGATACAGCCCAAGTGTCCATTAATAAGGGATTCATTTAAGTATGGTGTATCCATTCATTGGGATACCAGATATCTGTCAAAAAGAAATAAGAAGCTCTTTGTGTAGCTTTTCATGGACTGATCTTCAAAATGTAGGGTTAAGTGGGGGCTAATGCTGTAGCTCTGTGGTAGGCCATGGATTCCATCCCCAGCAATTCCCCACCCCCCCAAACTATATAGGGTTAAATGAGAAAAGCAAGAAGTGTTGTAGGAAGCACATACTACCATTTATATGGAAAAGAGAAAAAAAGAATATGTAAGCGGGCACCATGGTGCATGTCTATAATCCCAGGGTCTAGGGAAGCTGAGACAGGAGGATCATGAGTTCAAAGCCAGCCTCAGCAAATTGGTGAGGTCCTGAGCAACTCAGTGAGACCCTGTCTCTAAATAAAATACAAAAAAGGGCTGGGGATGTGGTTCAGTGGTTCAGTGCCCCTGAGTTCAATCCCCAGTAACCCCCCCAAAAAAAAGGTTTTTTTTTTTCTTGGATATAAGTAGAAATATTTGGAAGGATACCCACATCATCCATGAAGAGAAAAAATAAAACAAAACTGAGTGGCTGAGTACAGGAAAAGGAGAGAAATTATCTCTGGACATCCTTTTGTATTTTTAATTTTGAACCATATGAATAGTTACTTTAAAGAAACAAAAGACTAAAAAGAAAAAAAAGACTGAATTAAACAAACAAAAAAAATAACAACTTTACTAGGGCATAATGGGGAAAAGGTGTTAATTTTAAAACAGGAGAAATAATTTAGAAACAATGTTAAAAACTCTGCTAACTGCATTTTCTAATTTCTGATCCTTAAATAACTTACTGGAAACCTTACACTATGTATTAAGTAAGATTTCAATTATTTAAAACTTTTCATACAACAGAAACTCATTACAATGAGGAAAAAAACAAAGATTTGTTTGCAACTTAGGAATATGTATAACTCTTATGCCACCTTTTGTTATAAAAGAGTATGAGATGGTTCACGAATCCGATTGGGAAGTCAAAAATAACCACATAGACGAGCATGAAATTCTTGGTTTGAAGAGTAAGGAGAAGTCAGTTGGCACAGGTCAGAGTAGAATTTTTACTAGCTTTGCATAAGGGCTTAAAAGTGATTCTTTTCCTTTTGAAGCTTTCTGTTTGCTGGTTGAATATGTACACAT